CATTGGTGTAATGGATTAATTTGTAATATTTATGTTATTATTTTTGATATAAAAATAATGGGTTACTATTTCTGGTAATGTTTAATGGCTTTTTTGATTGGGACTAGATGATGATGATTATTTTTAGTAATGTTTAATTTTTTTAAATTGGGATTGGATTTTGATTATTTATATCTCCATTTCCATTGTTTAAATGGAAATGGAGATATAAATATTTAAGTTATTTCTGATAACCCTTACTGGCTTTTGCTGATTAAATAAGGAGAGCTGAAGATTTAAAGATGGGCTTATAGAAGATGGGTGAGGTATGGAATGAAAATGTACTTGGTTGTATTTTAAGAGACAGTGATAAATTGTTAATGTTGCCTATACTTACTGGGGATGAAGGGGGAAGTTTCTTTTTCTATTTTTTTCTTCCTTTTTTCTTTTCTTTTTTCTCTGCACTTTTTAAAATATATTACATTGATGTAGTTCTGTATTAGGTTGTTTTATTAGTTTTACTTGTTTAATATAATCCTCAATAAAATTATTCTTAAAAAAAAAGGACAACAAAGATTCCATCTTTTTGTTCTCAGAGGCAAGCCTATCATTGTGCTTAATACCTGGTATTCATATTTGTGAGGTTTTTATATTCTCCCTTTAGTGATTCTGGTTCCTTTCAGAAGCCGTGTTTCTATTAACCAATCTCAGGTTCAGAAGTATCATCTTTAAAATTGTTGGGCGGCTAGTTGAATAAATGGGGCTGGGAGAGGATATAATGCATCAGTATCTTAAGTGGCTCCTTCTCAACTGCCATTGCATCCTCTGTACCTTGTTATCTCTGTTTCTGCAGAACAGACCCCTGCACTTGCCCTCTCCTCTCTCATGCTCTATTGAAATGTATTCTGCAAACTATTCACAGCATGAATCTAGCTACAGGATAAAATCCCATATTGTTAGTCTTGACCTTATTATGATCTGCAGGAATACAGAAGGAATAGCAGTTGAATAACACAAATAAAAGATTCAGCATGCTCTCCTACAACTTTTCCCTATCCTCATAACTATTGGGCACACCTCTGACTTTTTAAAAGATGGGGAAAGGATATAGAAAAAGAACCCCCGATGTTACGATTCACATATGTACTGTCAACAGTATTTCTCATAGTCTTGAGTGTAGGAAGCAAGTATCAAATTGCTGTATTCTTGATTCATTTGTATATATCTCTTTCCACCCAGGCAAGTGCTTTGAAGATCAACCCTTTCATGCATCTTAGTCAATTGAAACACATGCTGGGAGATGGGGGAAAATCACATGGGTAGTTTTATGTGGGTGAACTGGGGGGTCATCAGGTTGCATTGCACATGCAGGAAGCTGCTGGTTAAACTCTGTTTAAAAGCAGATGGAGGTAATCTAAATTTATACTTCTGGCTCATGCTGTGGAATATTTGCTTTTATAAATGGTGAAAACTCAATAGCAACAGGAGAGTTTATTCTTGCTCACGCCCATTCTAACTCTCTGCTAAGTAAATGTGAAGAAATGACTTCCTGCTGCTTCAGATTAATAGTTTAAGAATCTGAAGTATTTTAATCTTCCCCCCTTTTTTTACAGACCATTATTCTATAGCTCATTCTAGTGATATTTAATGGATTCCAGAAATGGAACCCAATACATCTCTTCTTACATAGAGATGAAAGAGAAATTCATTTGATTTTAATAAGACCCGATCTAATTTGTACTTCCTGAATGAATATATAACCAGATTATAATTATCTTTATAGTTTTGCACTTCTCTGAATTTCACAATGCAGGGACTTGATAAAAAATGTATATATTAGGAAAATATTACACTAATAATAATAATAATTTATTACACTTGTATGCCACCTGACTCTCAATAACTCTGGGTGGATCACAACAATCAAAGAAATTACAATAAAATCAATAAAACATAAAAAATAAAGATAAATTAAAATGTACATATTGAGGATGTTATTATATAGGAAAGTGTGTATCGAAAGGAGCACCAATTTCAATGTACTTTAATATGCACACATAAAAACATTCAGGATTTCATACAGACAGAAAGAAATGAGAAACTGCTGCAAAACGAGACAAAATGAACTTTTGCTTGAAAAAGTTAAGTATAATAGAAAGCAAACAAATTCATCCATTCCTATTTGATACTTTAAACTTACTCAGCACAGAAAGAATAGTGTAGCCTAGAATTTTAATTACAGAACTGCTATGATGATCTCAGTCTATGGAAAGTGGGCTGGAAAAAACCATGGAGTTGAACAGTTTGAGAATGGTAATTGGAAGTGTTAACCGCATGCAAGCTAGAATGGTGTAGCACTATTGTGTAGTTATGACTGATCATTATTTAAATTTACAAGTTTCCCATTGCTTTCACTACCTCTACAGCTTTTGCAGGGGGTCACTAAGGAAAGTAGCCATGTAGAGGAGGCACATGGTGATGAGCATATATCATGTTGTGCTATATGTAGGTACATGTGCTGGTCCCAGTGAACAATTTGAATGTCACCACACCAGGGAATCCAAAGGAACACTAAGGAAATCATTGTACTAAAAATTATATTACTGCAAAATAGAAACATGCTGGAATAAAGAATGAAGCTCGTGAGGCAAGAACAAGTAATTTCCATGCTAGAGAGAACTGTTATAGTGGCCAAGTTCCCACTGCCTTAGAAAGGCAAGAGGGAAAAGTCTAGAATTTAAACCTTGGAGCACAGACTTGCATACGAATTTGATTTCTGTATGTTGCAGTGGGCAAATATAGTGACTATATTGTTTCATTCTTGTTTCTAATAAAGAGGCTAATCTTGCCTTGCTGTTTCTGTGAGCCTTCTGCCAGTAAGCCAATTCCTGAATGAGGGGTTAAGTGTCTGGAAAGTCAAGATTTACAGTCGTATCAGTATGTTGCCTGACAACTGAGGTATTGATTGCGGAAGTATAAATGGAAAATCACAGAGGCAAAATCTATTCTTGTTGCAGCATCCTGAATGATAGATGTTTTCCCTATTGGTTGTGATGTGCTGAAGATGGATAGCAGCAAAGGGATAGGAATAAACCAATTGCTTTACTTATCATATCTGGCATTTGCACAAATCAAGATAGCATGCTTTGGCTCCAATAGAGGCGAATATGTGTAGCTCAGGGTTGAACCGTGGAGTCTTTGGGGTTCTCTGAGCTTGGTTCTTTTCTTGCAAACGTTCTTGCAAACCCCATCCCATTTTAGCACTGAAGATGTTACCTAGCTGGGTAATGAAATGTTTGCAAGAAAAGAACGAAGCTCAGAGAACCCCAAGGACTCCACATCCTTTGGCTGTGACTGTAGCATATGCAGAGGGGGTGAAAACAGGTAAGATGATAGTCTAAGCCTTGTCCCTTTTGCATGCACATAGAAAGGGCCAGGATTATGATCCTGCTGCAGCTTACTTGTTTTGACCTTCCCTGCAGGTGCCACTGGCAGTGATTCTCTAAAATCTGGACTTTCTCTTAAATGAAAGTATTGTGCAACTAACATAATTAATGAGATCGCTTATCTCTAATCATGAAAACAAAACAGATACAAGAATGGTCTCAAAATAAGTAAAAACAAGAAACTTTCCGATTACATCTGACCAATGTATTTGCTGAGCCTATTGATTACAAAGGGTAATGCCATTCACACTTTATTTGGGAAGGAAACCAATTACTGTATACTGGCATATATCTTTAAGGCAAACATTATTTGTGTAATTTAGAAATCCTATATAAGTTACTCATTTAAGATTTATTCCTGTTTTCCAGACTGGTTCTCCAAATTGAGAATACGGATCATCATTATCATTGTCAAAGCCATTTCCAAATATCCCACACACAGAATATTTATTCAAACAATTATACACATGCACACACACACACACACACACACACACATACTACCGCTCCTTTTGAAACCAAAATCAAACCAGATATCAAATGAAAATTTAACCTGAAACACATGAAAATTTAGCTGTGTCATAGAGGGGAGAAAAAAACCAATTATAGCATAGAAAATTCTTGCCTTCTAGTTCTTTCAAACAGTTTCTTAATCATTCCATGATGCAATTTAGACTTTACACCTTGGGCCCAATATTTTAAAATGTGTACCAGTTTTCATAACTGCATTGTCTGCCTCCTTGAATATTAGTCCCAAAAGGCTTGTAGTCCATCTGTCCTATGCTCTACTCCTGGAGCTGGGTAGCCCAAATTCTTTGTCAATCTCCCGTCACCCCCTCCAATTTTCTCTGGAAAGCTTTGCGTTTCTGGGCTTGCAGCAAATATGAATACACACACACAACTGTGCTGTGTTTTCTGAAATCTGCTTTCTTAAAATGTAAATGAGGATACCATAGCACAAATCTTCAGCATGCATAGCATCTGCAGTCCAATATTCATACCTTTAAAGCCAAACAAAAATAGCAAACAGTTCCAGGGGGCAACTGGTAGCTTTACTCAAACAAACAAAACAAAAGCTCTCTGAAGTCAGATTGGCCCTCCTAATTTGCCCATGCCTCTCTGTTCTTTTTCTGCCATCCTTCCTGCCCTATCTCTTATCTTTGATCAGGAGCAGTATGCGCTCCATGAACAATAAAACCTGAAAGACACTTGAGCATCTTCCACTGTGAAGGCTGGCAAACGCATCACACAGAATCTTGGTTGTTCTCTTAAAGGTATTATTTAAAAAACACTGTGTCCCCTTAAATACAAATTACCCATGGTTTCAATTTATGCATAACTGGACTTTTCCAGGATGCCTATAGTTGTAGTAAGTGGAATACACAGCCACTTAACAAGATATATGTACTGCATATAACAGTTGACATATAACACAATCTATGATTTCATTTCTCAGCCATTTTTACTAAATCTAATGCAGTGCACCCACTTCTATGAAGAAATGCCACTTAATTTTTGTTTCTCATTTGCTGTTCTGTATTTTAGAGGTGCTAGATTTTCAAGAATAAATCCTACCTTGTCACTGTCTACTGTATTCTGAGAAGTTCTGGATGCAATTGAAATTGTGTCAGGCTGACTACTCCCGTCCCCTTGGCTGTCAGCATCTTCTCCTCCCTCTCTACAGGGAAAAAACAAGAAGAAATTTCGTGAATGAATTTGAAAATTGCTCAGGCACAGTGTGAAGAAGAAGTTGTTCAGCTGATCACACATGTGTTACGACTTAGTCTATAATTTAGAATGCTGATGTCATCCCTATCATGAGGTTAGTACATAATAACTACTTTTGCTCTTTAAAACTGACTATTCCAGGTTTGTATAGTGACAGCAACATATCTCAAAATAGCTCCATAATGAATGTGGCAGGCCAATTCTGTTCTGCTTGGATTTCTCATTTAACCAAACCCAGCCATCTAAATTATAGTCTAGCTGCTTTGCAAAACTGATGTCAGTTTCTCAGTTCTCACATTTTTTGTGGTTTAAATTATGAGGTTGTCAAATTTTGAAAAGTATAAAATATGTGCAAACAAATTTATTCTTCTTTTTAAATATTTGCTATAATTTGAAAGAGTGTGGAATATGTATCACCTTTCATTCCAATCTCTCTTTATAGGATGCTGTTGCAAGCAACATCAATGCTAGAACCCATTTTTTTTTCATTAGGGAACATGAATCTTGTAAAATATGTTATCAATAACCTAAAGCAGTTCTTCTTGTTGGTTTCCAATACAGGGCTGTTAATACACTGGTATCTAGGGAAGGTCAGCATCTACTCATGTGTAAGTACTCATGGGCCATGGCTTTAACATCACTTTACTCCCACCAAAACAAATTACATAATCTGGATCAAATCCAAGTGCTGATACATTTGGCCACCAATTCTTTGAGTACTTTAGAACCTATATTAGACAAAAATATTTTTTCCATTAATGTTTCAGATATCTTTCATAATAATCATGGAGAGATTAAACTTATCACCTCACTAAACACATCATTTTTATAAGCAAAAATCTAATTTCACTAATATACCTTTTGAAGTAATTTATTTAAGGTTATACTACATTGTCTAAAACATAGCTCAGAGAAATAAGTTAAATTTATATATACAAAGGATGATTCACAGGCATGTCCCATCATTGTGATATGTTTTTTAGGAAGCACACATTTTCTCTCCTGTAGGTCTTTCCCTTCTACTTGGTGATGGGTCCTCTCTTACAGTCCTCATATGCTTTCTCTTTTCCCATAAAAAGCAGTGTCTATCTGCAGAGAAATCTCACTTCCCACTTAAATATTTTCTCATGGAAGTAAATACGTGCTATTAATCTTTGCAGTAGATATTAAAGTTAGTGTCACATTGATCTGTACACTTCTACTTATTAAGAATAGCCCTTTTTTGGGTCTGTATTATATAAAGAAATTATATGGCTAGCACAAGTCAAACCACCTTTGTCTTTCTTATCCCAATAGATGACCTAATACTGATAAAATTATCATGCCCGCAATGTTAACACTGATCTGTTTTGTTTATTTTTGCATTCTGTACATTGCATTTTAGTTATTGCTAGCCTGAGCATTCATTTGAATAAAAAGTTAGGATACAACTTGGAAAAATAATAAATTTGTATATTCTTGCTGGCATCCTATTTGGGGCTGAAATTAGGCCATATTTTTCCCACAGCTGCAAAGGGGCAATATAAACCATAATCCAGGCTAAGAAGATTGACACTGTAACATTCTGGTCAACAATTAGCTTTGACAAAAGCCGATGTAGAGTAGGAAGAACTGGGAGCAGTTCTTTGGCACTGTCCTTCCTTTATTACTCCCTTTTTAATTCTGGATTTGAAAGCTGGAGGGAAGCAGCATTGCTCAGGAAGTCTAGGCTTAGTCTACAAAGTGATATATGCTAATTCTTATAGAGGAGGTTTATAAATTCAACAGAATAAATACAATTTCTATACAATTGATTAATCTACAGAAACACACTGGTTATTTCGCACTTAACACTAAAGCTATGGTGTGATTTGTTTTTTTTCTAACATAGCATGGTATATGGATCTACCTATGATGTTTTATTTATCAAACTATGGTTTAAATCCAGACTGAATTTAAAGTGTGGACCCAGGCTTTCTGTGGCAAAACAGTTGTTTGACATAGAGCATTCATAGGATGATTAAGATTACCTCTTACTGTTGTTTCTTTGCTTTGCTGGGGTTTTGGGAAGCTGGATTGGTTCTTTCAAAGCTCCTTTTAAATGTATAATTCTTTCCTGTATCACTTCTCGAATGTTTTTAATCCATTCTTGTTTAGTTTCAATACTCGTTGCCTACACATTTGAACAGAAAAGGCAGAAGATAGAATTACAGTATTTCTCAAGGAGGGGCCTGTAGTTTGCTTCTTTTCAAAAGTTCCTTTCATCCATTTGCCTACATTATAGAACAGTTTGCCTAGATAAGCAAAAAGTTCATGTGCCAAAAGTACACTGCTAGTAAAAGAAAGGCAAGTAAGTGTAATAAAAGGATAATATAGGTATTGTATATTGTTGCTCTTCTATTGCTACAGTTTCTCAAACAAAGCCTCTACAATGAAGGAGCTCTGTGAAATGACTGTTTGCTAAAAAAAATAATTAGAGCTAAGAAAGCTATTGTCACATGATAATATTTAAAGAAATAAGTGATTATAAAGAGCATTTCCATCAAGTAACTTCTGCTACAAGCAGTAAGTAGTAAACAGTGTTGTTTGCTTCACATTGTATTAAAACAACAGACCATTTCATTCTAATCTAATGAAGCTTAGGATAATTTCCTTCCAATATATATCTGACTGTACATTATAATGTTCAATGCTTTAATGAGGCCTTCCCTTAGTGAATTATTTTTTAAAAAAACTACTTCTAAAAACCTCTACTGCAAATTGCACAAAAATGGGAATCTGAGGCTTATATATAGGACCATGGCAGATCTTGACCTGAGTAAATAACCATGATCATTATCAGACTTATAGCCAGTTAAACTAAATTCAAACAAAGAAAGGCACTAGAGTAAGACCAAGAATAAAACCTGAATCCTTGCTGAAGATAGCCTTGGGAGTGGGGGCAAATCAGCAGCTGAAGGTTACTTCCTACTATATGGTGTATATACTATATATTATATACTGTATATAGGCTTTGGTGCCTGAAATATAGAATGTTTGTTGCACATTGAACAAATGCATTCTATGCTCTACACCGTGAATTTGATTTTCCATCTTTAGTTTATATGTGGTAACTATCAAAAAGGATTGACTAATGGCACTCAAATAGCATTATGTTCTATAGACTAGAAACCACAGATGTATGAAGTGAAGCTGACATTGCATATACATGTATGGCATGTGTATGTAAGCCATGCATATTGGCCTCACCTTCTATATCTATTATATGCACTTGTCTCACCTTCCAGTTTCATGTCTTGTTATACTGAGTAGCAAGTTCTGAAATGTGTTTCTGTATGAGTTCAGTTGAATGGGGAAAGGACCCAGGTTGTGATTATTGACCTGGATGCTTCTAATGAGGAAAAATGTAAAAAGCATTGCAGACAAAGGAAAATAATTCTGGAGACTCACTTTTAGTACTGTTTTGTTATCTGAGGAGGGAGTCCGTCCAGACCACAAGGCAAACTTGCATGGATCTCCTTCCACGTGCTCTGTTACTCCCAGTTCTGAGGTCTGTAAGGAAAGAGTGATGGCTGAAACTAATATGTTCATGAATTTTAGAATGAAGCTCTGAGTGAGCTCACATCTAATGGCATATTACATTCTTGTACAATGAACTGAATCATAAAAAGTAATTTTTTAAAGCTTTTTCATGTATCCATTGACCACTGCTACTTTGGTAAAGTAGAATAAAGGTAGTCAACATAGTGTATGAACATGTAGCGCCAAACAGATAATTTTATTATTTCCCACCCCCTACATAGTAAAGATCCTGAAGCCCATAAGGATATTCATCCTTGCAGACTTACCAGTAATTTGTTCTTGTAAACATATTTTGTGTGTCCTGTAGAATCTTTTATTTCTTTGCTGAAAACTAGAGAGATTTCAAAAAGAAACAAATGTCTCTCACGGCCCTTCCGGATGAGAGATTTGGGGTCCCATACTTGGAATGAATCTTGAAGAATCAGTTCTCCCTGAACATCCAAATTTTCATCAAATCCTGTAATAAAAACAAAGAAAAACAAAAATGAAAAATCACCTTATAACATAAATGCTCATGCTCAGCCATGGCTAGATAGTACTGAGCTAGATGGAGAAACCATCTGTTTCAGTATATCAGAGAACCCACTTGGAATCCGCATCCAGATGAGAGTCAAAATTATGGTGAGGGAATAACAATTCTTTAACGTTTGGATGTAAATTCCCACAATGAATTAGAGCTCCATAAAATATGTCATGCAATGAGGGAGAATAGAAATAGGAAATTAGTGCCCAAGGAAGAATCAGGTACCCATTAAAATGGGCAAAGATTAACAACTAGATATGTGTAAGTGCACACTTAGGCATTTTTAAAGAAAGCCCTAAGAGTGTGTGATACAGTTCATCACATGGACATTCCTGACGCCCTGTATCTACAACCTGTCCTATCCCTGCCCATTCTCTTCCCCAATATTAACAATTACCTACCTTCCAGCATGCTTACGTGCATCGCATCATTGGCTTTCTTAGGGACACTGAGCATCACTTCCAAACCATCCTTGAGCTCTCCTTTTCCTTCTTCACAGCATGTTAAAAGTTCCTGGGGGGGGGAATGCATAAATAAAAAAAAAAAAGCCATTGTTGGAGGGATTGTTGTTTTTTCCTTTTTGTAATTGTGAGCCCCCGGGATTCACCTGTTGGGGGAGATGGGTGGCATACAAGTGTAACAGTAAGTAAGTAAGTAAGTAAGAAAAAACCCTGACCCTGGATAAGTTTCCTTTTGACCATAGCCAATCAGTTCATTTGCAGGATATGAGTTGATAATGAAATCATGAACATACGCACATTTGCAACCTTATCAAAAATTAAAGTTAAACTTGATTTTAGGAAAAGACTAATGGCTTAAATTACTTTGCGTTGCCAAATTTGAAGAATACAGTTGAAAGAACTGTATTCCAGTTGATATTGGTCAATTGGTCAGGTCAATTCACTTACAAATGTGGTCCCAATGGAAAATAGTCTTAGTACTAGATATTCAGTACTTCAACCAGCTTTCTTAGTATTAGCCATTTAGTGTTCTCACCATTTTCCTGACTGTGAATGAACTACCTAAGCATCAATCCATTCTTTAAAAATCACCTATAAAACTGCCTCTTAGACAGTCTGTAATGGTATTATCTTCCTCTTGGTGCCAGGGAGAGACTTGTGGTTTTTATTCTTATATTTAGAACTTCATATCCACAGATTTAAGTGTCCTTCTGTCGAAGACCCCATTTTTAAAAATAGAAACTACTTTGCTAGATATCTTGTTTTGTTTTTAATGGAGAAAAACCAGGCCAAAAATAATAATTAATTTGAGTTTAGATCAGATTTGAAGAACAGGCATTGTTTTGTGTCCTCTATAGCTGCTCCATCTTTCAGCTCATCCTTAGAGCAATTTACATACGATCAATGAAAAACGACACTCTTTGCCACTAAACTTACATGTAAAAATCATGACACAGAAGGAAAAAGAGAGAAGAAAGAGGAAAAAAAGCCAGCCTTTCTCTTAAAGCTAAATACCAGAATAGGCTTTAGAAATGCAAAATGCAAGACTGCAGAAACAGGTAAAGTCCTTTCCTGTGCCTGAGTATAAGGACAAAACAAATAACTAAAAAGTAAGAAGGATAAAAGAAAATAAGATGAAATAAAATAGTTAATTCAATAAAATTGAAAAACACATAGGTAGTTAGTACTGGGGAAATCTTAAAATTAAAAGAAATATTAATCTTATCCTAGGGGGTATTGGAAAGAGAAACATAGAGACATTTAATAGGTAATAACAGAAAATTTTAAACTGTTAATTTCTTAATAGCGATGGCAATTGTGAAATACTTGATTATCTTCCTAGATACTTCAGGAACTATGTCAGCAAAGAGAAGGCAAGTTCTCTCATTAGAGCAACTGCAAGAGTTTGATAATTAAGGGGTTATTAATTCTGAATGCCAAGCTTTGTGAAAAGGACCATGTAGTAAAATGAAACTGTCTGACTCAACAACCCCATTTCACAGGGATATATCAGTGTAGCAGAGTGTTGTTATAGTTCCCTTGTTGGCTGAGAAGGTAAGGAATTAAATATTTCCAGTCAGAAGGCCATTTGGTGTGATACACTCAAGACATTAGGTAACTAACTGGGATAAATGGTCTTTTACCCAAGCCTCCCCAAGAAAGTCTGGGGGGATTATTTTAATTGCCATGAAGGTCAATATCAAGGATGTGTTGCTTGAATTCTACATTATTAGAGTAAATAAAGACCTAGAGCATAAATAATGGGCTAAGAGGCCATGTCATATAACATCTAGATTAGTGGCTTTTTTTCCAGGCACTGGAAATAAAAGTCATCCCAATAGTCAAAGACGCCAAATATCCCTCTAAGAATCTTAGATGACATAGCCTTATAGAAGCCCCTATGGATGTAAGTCTTGATTCCAACTGAAGCAAAGAATGATAGCAACCCTAAGTTAACCCTGCCATCCACTGGAAAAATACAGAGAAAAAGGTTAAATATGCACACAGTCCTGTGCAACGCTTAGCTTCCCCAACTTGTCAACCTAAGCTTGCCAACCCTGGCTGGAAGATTGGTATAGGCTCTTAAGGCCTTGCCTGTTAAACTAGGGCCCCAGGCCACCCATTCATCTTCAGGCCATTTAAATAAGGCAGCAACCTGCTCAAACATAGTAAAAAATGCTTCAGTATCTTCCTCCTCTGTTAACTTTGGTATTTTTATATTTTTGGGACCAGCTGTTAAAGGGGAAATGATCTCTCTCTGACCCTGGACTCCCTTTATTAGATCAAGCAATCCCCTAAACTCTTCTCTACATGCCTCCCTCTTACACTTTTCCCATTCCAACCGAACCTTCCACTTAGCCTCCATCCAAATCAGATCATCTTTATCTTTCTTGATTAGCCAAGCCCTTTCTTCCTGTTTTGGCTTTAGCATTTCTGTAATAATATTAGTCCAAGAAGCAGGATCTAACTCCTTTTCTAATTGTTCCAACTTACCTTTTACATAGCTTAAGGCTGAGGCCAGACATCTGCTTCCACAGAAGGAGCAGCAGTACCCTCAGCCTTTTCCATTTCTAATTGCCTAGTATAAGCTCTGGTTCAAGGCCAATATGCTGGACAGTGCCTGCAGGATGTAAGATCTACATGGAACAAATTCTCTCCCTCTAATGGCCCATTCTTTTTTTCCTTTTCATTCACAGCACTTAATGGTCTCCTTGAATCCGAGGCAATTCCACCACTGCCACCAATTATCGCAGGTTCTTTTTTTGAACCACCAATAACCAGATTGACTCAGACTCAATAGGCACAAAACACTGGAAATTTGGACAGTTGGTTGGGCTTTTGTATCTCCCCTCAGTGGCTGAGGGGGAAATTTTTATTTCACAAAAGGAAAGTTTACAAACAAACAAACAATCCCCCCCCCACAAAGGAATGGTAAATTAATAAATATCTTCAACTAGTTCAGAAATTAATCTTAATAAAACTATTTTCTATTTTAATAATTTATTTTCTATATGCTTTTTATCTATACAATATTCTTTAAAGTCCAATTTCCCTATATTTTCATATGTTTCTATTCTATATCTCCAATATATTTGTTTATTGCTGACATCTATATTTCTGTTGTCTTAATCCCTATATTGTCACTCTTTATACAGCTATATATCTTTTTCTAGAATTCAGTGTCTTTTATCTTTTTTAGTTTCTGTTTTCTATTTCTGTTCTGTCAAAATCTTTACTTTTTCTTCCTCTTTTCAGCTTGTTTGTTCCTGGCTTGGCCTCTTGACTCTTTTCTTCTTCCGAATCTTGGCTCCAGCTGAGAGAAATGGCTTGAAGACCTTTTCCCTCATACCAACTCTGAGGGAAGGGAATAAACACTTTTCTCTCTCCCCAGTTTTCTCAGCTGTTGCCTCCTTTCCTGTTGCCTCTTTCTCAGCAGGGCTGTCTATCCTTTAGTTTTACTTGTTACTTGGACTCCTGGGCTTTGGCTCTGTTGATTCAGCCTCTTCTTCTTGAGCCTTTTGGCTGCAGAGCTCCCAGGCAGCCATCTTGTCTTCCTCCTCCTCCCTGCCTCCTCCCAGCACTGCTGTTTGATTGGCAGCTGGGTTGTCCTGATGATGGGGGGAGGGACAAAACGGGAGCGGGAGGAAGAAGCACAAGGGCTCAAAGTCTTCCCAGGCAGTCGGTCCTTCCACACCATCCTGGACATCCCCCCTTATAAATATTTGCATGTAATACTCTTCTACATATGTATGTACTTTATTCTATACTTGCCACATTCCAAGAAAAGGGCAATGGCAGAGCAAAAAAATAAAAGATTGTGAATTGAATTAATTACTGATAAAAATTGCTTAAAAAATAAAGTAATCCATTTAAAAATTATTCAATCCTCATCTGCATAGAGAACACTCTTACACGTACACACAGACCAGTCTATCACACCAAAGCATACTATATCCTTCTAGAGGAAGAGGAGGAAGAGCAACAGTAACAGCAATAACAACACAGGATGGAGATGAAGTAAAAGGAGGAGGCAATACATGAGGAAATGAAAGGAATGATAAAGGGAGAATAAAAATAAACAAAGATGATCTAAAGAAACAGTGTAACTTGACAGGCAATAAAGAAAGAGAAGTCCTATTTAGGCATTACAAAAAGTATTAAATTCATTAGGCCAACAGCTCTTCCCAAGCTGCAGTCCATCTTGAAAGATACCCAGTCTTTGAAGTTGGAGTATCTGCATCTGCGTATCCCTTTGCACCTCTTGCTCATTTCCTTATTTTCAATAGTTTCTTCTATTCCTATCAGTTAACCTAACATGATCCTCACTCTCCTGTAATTCACAGCTAAATATTTGAGAGAAGAAATCCTAATATTCCTGTTGGATCCATATCGTATTTGCTTGAAAAGACTGTAGCATCTGAGTAAGAATTGGGGCACTAAAGGGATAGGTACGACGTGCTCTAGCAAATGATACTAAGTACATTGGAAATACTGAGATTTGTGCTGTCTGCCCCAGACGCATTTTCCTACTTTCCTGTAAAGATTAGAAAAGATGAAGCAACACTGCAAAAATATCAATAAATGTTTTGCAAAATAGTATTATTTATTGATTCATACATTGTGACTTTATCATTTTAATGTAAATGATGTATTACTTAAATATTATTTTGCATCACTTGTATGATAAGTACTGTATACAGATTGTTGGCCAAAGGCCTTGCAGCTGAAGAAACATAAACCAAAAAAAAAAAGAGCGAGAAGGACAGGTAGACCTAAACAAGATAACCGATATAAACAAACAATAAATTTTACGATATGATATCCCCAAACTGTTTTAGTGAAAAAGTCAGTGCATCTAATCACTTTAGTATGTAGTATGTAAATAAATATCATGAGAATAACAACAAAATCACTGGTATACCTTCAATAAAAGTTGATATTTTGTAATCCTCTGGACAGGTTTGATTAAGTATGAGGAAATGGAATTGGCCAGACCATGCCTTTGTTGAATTTCCTTTGAAAAAAGTAAAAACAAAAGTAAACAAACCTTAAATGAAGATACAACAGATAATCAGAATGTAATGAAAAGGTTTGCAGATTCTTTATCAATTTCAAAATCCATAAAAAATTAATTTTAACTGCAAAGTATCTCGACTGAGCAGGGTTTTTTTGGAGCTAGCAATCATTCTGTAGTTTCTTGATAAAAAAGGAGTATGTCATAGAGAAATTTTGTAACATCCCCTACTCCCTTCCCCATAGTCATTTAGAGAGAACCACTTGATGCAAGTATGTTGATGTCAAATTGCTTAAGATCTGAAGCATATCTCTGATGCTCAGCGCAGAGATACGCTACAGAATCTGATGCCAACTTTTTCTGAGCCAATGTCTAATGTTAGCCTCTATGAACCAAAAACAAAGTTGATTTAATTTAAATTAATTAACTAGTTAACATGATCTTTTTTGTTTCTTTCATAAATTTAAAGGACAAATGGCCCCAACTGGTCTAGTTGCTTTTTCTTTCTGCTTTTTTTCCTTTTTCTTCACTGCTCTGAATACTAAGGTAGACTCTAATTTCTGTAGGGAAATTTTTTTACAGATTTCAGACAAAGGGGCCAGGAAGCACATATGGCAGGTATATATCAGTCCTAAATTAACTCTGGACCCAGCTAATATTTACAATAGGAAAGGGCTCTAAGAGTTATAGTTCAAGAACTTCCAGAGAGTTACTATTTGCCCACTTCTGGTTGTTAGGCCTCATTGATTAATCATTGTGAATTGTGTTTTACGGACAGACTACTGTATACTTTTTGGGTTTCCTCTTGTCAGCTGCTTCCTAATTTTAAAATGTCTGTCATCAATATGGACAAGTTTAACTTGTTTTTGTGATTCAGTGCAACCTAATTCACTGGCTATCTTGCTGAGAATTGTCACATTGCAGTTAGTAGTCCTCATCTACAAGTGAGGCACAGAAGAAAATTCTGCAAACACAAATGCTGATAAATTGAATTTGGGTGCCTTCTAATCCCTTTAGCATTAGGAAGTCAATTCCAGAATTTCTGTTCTCTTATATATGTAAGGAACTCTGTGGATTTTTCAGGGTAATATAAATTTCTGTTATGATGCTGATGGTGAAAATTAACCAATAAGCTGTTAATCTCTATTTTTCATTTTCTTGACTCAATTTGGTGGGGTTCAGGGGTGGAGGCTTCTGCTTTTACATAAAGCAGCCAAAGAAGGACCAGATAGTCAGGAACGTTGTACTACCTTTTTGTATATGACCATAATAGCACCAGCCAGATGATGAAGAACAGCCAGGCTTTAATTAATTAAACCTGAAATCTGCTGTGGCATTTTGGAGTGGAAGGATTCCCTACTGTATCAGCATTGTGTTAATATCCTGTTGAATATGTCCATATGCAGAAAAATTACAACCTGCAGGAAATCTTTGAATATGCTGGAAGGCCATCTGCTGGTTAATTTATTGAACTATCCTATATATTTTGATTAAAGTGACAAGGATAATTGTAAAAAAAGACTTCTGTGGAATCCTGTTCAATTAAAAATCAAAACAACAACACCTTTCTTTTTCTTTTCTTCTTTTGTTCATTTGAAAATATTGAACAAAATAGGGTTCTAGTCCAAGATAGGATTTGAGTAAAGTAATATGAAATGTCTTCTGTGTCAGGTTCGGTCCCAGCGACGAGGAATCCGTGGGTCAGCTGGAGCGCGAGGGATCCAGGCTCGCGGAAGGGCGGTCGGAGCCGCCCG